GCCGGCCAGGGAGCAACCCACATGGCGAAGCAGACCTCTCCTTCCTCATCTGCTGCTCCCCTCTGCAGTGTGTTTCAGTCAGTCCGTCTGTTCTGTTCCCCACTCTGTCTCTGGTGAATCCTCTCACGCCCCCACATCTCTGGCCAGTTCTTGTATGCATAGATAAATAAATCTTAAAAAAAAAAAAAAAAACTCTACTGTGGGCACAAGCAGCAATTTGAAGGCATATTCACTGCTACATTCTTTGCCATAGCAAATAACTGGAAATAGTGTAAACATTCCTTAGCAGAATAAATTTGTGTGTGTGCATGTGTGTGTGTGTGTGTGTGTGTGTGTGTGAGAGAGAGAGAGAGAGAGAGAGAGAGAGAGAGAGAGATCTATCATCTCTGTGTATCGCTTTGGCATATTCACACAATGAAATTTTAGACATTAAAATAATAAATTAGAGTTACATGTATTACAGTGAATTTACCTAAAAAACAACATAGTAAGAAAAAACATTACAGTATACTGTAAATAGTATGATGTCTTTTAAATAGACTTAAAACATTCACAACAATAGTCTATCTTAATGTATAATCCATACTGAGCAAAAGTATGAAAAATGTGCCTCAGCTTGAGAAATACCCAATTCTGGAAAGTGGTTACCACTGGGGAGTGAGCCAGAGAGAAATGCGATGAAATGAGGGTGGATAAACAGCAGAATTTTGCTGCATTTTGTAATGTTTTGCTTCTTAAAAATAAAAGAATTGAAGAAAATATTGCAAAATATATCCTAATACATTTGGTAAAACTGGCAAGTAAGCGGGTGTCACTTTTTCACGCTGCTTTTTTGTGTTTTTTAAAATACTTCATTACACAAATTTAACTAGCCTTGATGGCAGCCTTTGATATATTTTATAGGCCATATCCTATATTTTAATGTTTTGATTTGTGTAAAATGATGTAGATGATGAGTATCTTCCAGACATTATACCCTTTCTCCTGGCTTTTGAACATGACCCATGGAGCATTAAGTGGGGCTGTGACACTTGGGTGAACAGTGGCAGGAGTGGCACTTGCTCTCTGGTTCTGGGACTGCTGCTGGGCTTACAGTCTCCTCCTGAACCTTAGAGTCCTTGACCAGCCCTTGATATTGCAATTTCTGTTCTCTATACTGTACATGGTGCTACACCAAACAAACCACAATCTTCTTTTTTGCCTCTGCTTAGAAACACTTATGGCCATGCCCACCACTAAGGTTGCTTAGTTGTGCTGCAAAAAAGAAGATTGAGGGAATTAACACATACCTCAGCCTCTGCAGCAAGTCCTCCTTCTGTAAACTATAACACTTATCACTCTGTTAGTTGCGATGCCTATTCCTATCATGTGCACAATTGAGCTGCCTTGCTCAGTCCTTGTTTATGTCTATTATGATAGTATAATTATTACAACATCCCCTTTCTTAAAATGTCTTAGTTTATAAAATGAATTTTATCATCACTTTATTTCTAACACATGGGATTATGCATCTTTACAAAAACAAACTTCTTATTATTCTCCAAAGTAGTTTCTAATGAAAACAATGGCCTAAAGTAAGCTTGCATTGAGGGAACAGGTGATATTCATTTATTCTTTATGTCTTCAAATAAAAATCAAGCAGAAAATGTAAATGTGATATTAGGTATGCCAGATTACAACTATTGGTTGTTGGATATGTTTGCATGTACTTTATTATTTGATAGTGAAGAAAATAAAAAAAAATTAAATATTCAAAATATTTCTTGTTTTATAAGTTAGAATAAAGTACAAGTTGTTCATTACTATCCTACCAAATATTTACTTTGCTACAACGCACTTTCTTAATAAAGGAAGAGATAGTGCAGAATTACAGTTGGCAAGTCCAGTTGGGCTAAAAACTTGGAACTTTAGTTATAGTTGTCTTTCACCATACCTCAACTCTTAATTCATGAGAAAATCCATCAAATTACATCCCAAATCTGAGCATACTTCACTATCTTCACCACTTGTGCCCTGGCACAGCCTGCAGCATTTTTCTCCTGAACTATTGCAGTAGCCTCCTGCCTCAGTCCTTAGCCTTTGAGCACCCACTCTTCCTCCAAGTGAAACCTTCACATCATTCTTATCTCCCTCACAATGAAAACATCTCACACACCTCCCACCTCCTCCCCCACTGTTTGTTCTCCAGGGACACCGACTTTTTAAAAAATATTTTATTTTACATAGTTGTTATATCATTTTTAATTTTTGCACAATGTATACATTTTTATTTTGGTTATATTCCCCATATAATTCCCAACCCCCTTATTTTGGCCCTAATCCCTCCCCTCCCCCACTACCCCCTGCTATAGTGTGTCTCTGGTTTATAGTTACTTGTTGATTTTGATTTTTTCTTTATTATAATTAAATAGCAGCACTATTTACAATAGCTAAGCTTTGGAAAAAACCCAAATGCCCAAAAATAGATGACTGGATCAAGAAGATGTGGTACAGATACACAATGGAATATTACTCAGCAATCAAAAAAGATAAACTCATGCAATTTGCAGCAATATGGATGGAGCTGGAAGGGATCATGCTCTGTGAAATAAGTCAGGGAAAAAATAAAGAAAAATACTGGATGGTCTCACTCATAGCAGGAATTTAGAAAACCTAAATTAGGGACCAGGAAAAAGACTAATTATAATAAAGACACTGACTTTGCTGCTCTTCCTCAACTGTATGAAGTGCCAGCCTCAGAGCCTTTGCTCTCTCACTGCCTCTGAATTCATACCCTCAGAGAGCCATGTGGCTGCTTCCTCATTTCCTCTGGTCTCAAATATTCCATCTCAGAACGGATGTCCATAGTGACTCTACCTAAAATAGCAGCAGCCTCCCATGCCGCCTCTAACCCCAACTCTTTATTTTTTCTAACACTTTCATTTCCTGACCTGTCACATTTTTATGTTTATGTCTAGTCCCAGAAGAGCAGGACTCTAGCTCCTAAACGAGACCTCATCACACAATACTGGGGGAGGACGGGGAATTGGTGAATTGGGTGTAATCCTGATTGTGTCCTTGAGTCAATTTCTCCCACATGAAGAACATTCACTTTGTGTGTGCTCCAAAGTCAGTTTTATAAGGTAGTATGCAGCATATGCTTTATTTAATTCCAGGAAAACCCATAAGTCTTTGTTTTTAAACAACAATATAACAGGTGGATTTATTGGCACCGAAGTCAATGAGCTGGTTTGTCCTTCCTGCCACTCCCATTGAATTCTCTTGGAAGCATAAAAATTGATGCAGAGTTTCTTCCAACAACACTAGAAACCAGGAATAGCAAAATATCTTGCCAGACACTGGGAAGAATTTCAGAAACCACAACACAGATGGGGCTGGATTGACAAACCATTAGTGGCTGACACATACTTTTTGAAATTGCTGAAACAGAACAGCAGGGTCAGACAGGAAAAGGTTAGGGCACCAGGTGTCCAGTTTGGACTCTGACAGTCTGTAGGAGCTTTCTGCTGATGAAATAAAGATGAAATATAAAAATAACCACTTAAAAATTAAGATAAGTTTATTATAACATGATTTAGACTCAATGCTATGCAGCATATTGGGTTTTTATCTAATATTTATAAATAAAGGAGGTATATTTATAATATGTGATATATAGAATTTTATGCAGAAGTTATAATATGGGCTGCTATTAACCTATTTGTAGATTGTATATTTTCTATCTATACATCTTATGTATGCATTTCAGGGAACATATATATATATATTTTAAAGATTTATTTGTTTATTTATACAAGCACTGGGTACAGTCAGTAGTGCGGGAGGGTGAGAGAACTCACCAGAGCCAGAGCAGGGAGCAGAACAGGCAGACTGACGAAATACACTGCTGAGGGGAGCAGCGGGCGCGGCAGGAGAGGTCTGTCGTGCCATGTGGGACCCTCACCAGCGGCTGGGGATCGAACAGGTGCTGCAGAGGCTGCAGGCAGCTTCACAGCCCAGCGCTCAACCGCTGCGCCACCAGGGGAGGCCCTCAGGAACGTATTTTTATCAGGTGTGTCAGGTATTTTTGCAGAAAACACACGGCAATTTTTAGAAATGGGAGAAAAGATTTCCAATGATGTTATATATTGGACAAGTTCAGAAGTGAGGCTTAGCAGAGAAGCTTCACTGTACTGAGGGGCCCATACTTTCTGTGGGTGGCCACATCTGTTTTCAAGGGTGACTTAACAGGCACTCAAGCTGCAATTACATGAAGTTACATTCTAAAGAGCACTTGGTTGGTGCTCTGTTGCTACCATCTTGAAATTTTTAATAATTTTATATTTGAACTTGTGTGGGAAGAGAGGAGAGAGATCATTGTGTTTGCTAGTAACTCTCATGCAGCCTTTTCAATGCCTCAGGAACACAGATCTCCAAGGCACCCACAACACATGAGAGTTCAGTGGAACTCATGGAAAGTACAAGTAAGTGTTCTATCAAGTCAGTGAAGAAGATGACAGCCCCAAGAGGCCATGCTCCATCAGAACCAGAACTTGCTTTGGATGCAGAAAGAAGGCAATATTGCTTTGAGGACCGTAAACAACCAAGGAACTCTCATATCCTTGCTTACTGTTAGGAGCTGGAATGTGACCCCTCCCCTTTTTATATTACGAAGTTATGAAATCCTAATTCCCAATATTGGAGAATGTGACTGTATTTGAAGACAGGGTCCTTAAAGAGGTAATTAAGTTAATGAAGTCATTAACATGAACCTCATGAGAAGACCTCCCGAGAAGAGAAACTATGGACACAGACACACACAGAGGGAAAGCCATCTGAAGACATAGGGAGAAGACAGCATCTCCAAGCCAAGGAAAGAGGGCTGAGAAGTAATCTGACCTTGATGGCAAACTCATTTCTGACTTTTGCCTCCAGGACTGTGAGAAGATAAATACCTGTTGAGCAAGCCACCTAGTGTGTGGTACTTTGCTATGTCAGCCCTAGAGAGCTAACACACTTACCATGTTTCTGTTCCATATCAGTCATTTTATATTGGGAATGATGACATGGAGGAGTGGGAAAGATGAAGCAGCCCATAGTTTCTCTTCCTTATGGGTCTTTCTTATTTTTCAATAAGCAAAAGGTAGAGCGTGGCTGGTAGAGAATGTGCATAAATCAAGGAGTGAAATAAAAACAGTTGAGTTAGTTTTGTGTTACATTCTCAATGTTCTGGTAAGAACAAAATACACGTGCATGTATGACTTTGTTAGTTTCAAGCATTCATTGATGCAATTAATGTAAACTATTTCCTTAAGGATCTACATAAAACAAACTTATTTTAAATTAAGGTGAATCAAAACAATAACAATGAATAAAAATAGGAAACAGATTTCTCTTTATAACTGTAAGAGAGATGAATATTAATTTACTGGTAATAATTTGCAATAAATATCTAAGCACTTATGCTGTATACCTTAAACTTATACAGAGCTTGATGTTAATCATATCACAAACTGAAAAAAAAGAAAGGGAAAATATGTTATTTGTTAAAAGCAAATACATTTAGGGTTAAGTGATGCAACATTAGGTTTAATGGAGAAAACAATGAAAAACTAAGAAAACTGTTGACATGGTAAAGGTACAGGAAATAAACATATAAACAAGTAAAAGAAAAGGCAAAACATGTAAGGAATTGACACAACTGTAACTAAATACGTTAGTCACTACAAAGAGCATAAAGGGTTAAACTGCCTATGTAAAAGCTGATCCTGGAGGAATTTTAAACATTTTCAGTTATATTTTGATTGCAGGGATACATGTAGAGTGAAACAACATGTCTGCATATTTCCCTGTATTCAGATTATGAAGTTTTCACTTGGTAAGTATTTTGAAAAGGTACATGGTAAAATTCCCCTTTGGAGTTATGCCTTTCAAGCAAATAGCATTTTGTAGCATAACTTTCTTCATTTATCATCAAACTACTTTCTAAAATATTCAAAGCCACTAGGCCATATAGAATGATTGGTTATTGGTTATTGTAAGCATTCAGACTTGAACACATTTTTGACATGCAAAGGTATGCTTGCATTTCAGGTGTGTGATTTCAAAGGCTTAGCGGTGACTTGTGAATGGGCGGCCAGGCCCTCTTTCCTGGCCGCTTTCCAGTAGCTCTGAGAACCTGCCATAAATATCAAGTCTGTGATTCAAGTGAAAAGTCTAAGATAACAAAACAGGTCCTCTAGTCGGCGCATTGTGTCACTGCTGTCTGTATTCACAAGGACTATTTCTACCAATCCCTGAAACAACAAATAAACCCTGGACTCTATTAAGGCTTAGACTGCCTCCCATATCCACCCCCTTTCTACTGTAATGGGGTCTGTAACTCTTTATTCTCCCCTGGTTTATTGATTCCAGTCTTCTTCCACTACTAGCTCTGTAGTTAGGAGGTGGCATTGATCTTGCTTTTTAAAAATTCTGTTCTGATTCTCTGAGCAGATATATACTCAGAGGACAAGATGCTATTGTGGAAAAATAATGCCCACTCCCCCAACTTCCTCAAAGATGTCCATGTCCTAATCTTGGAATTTGTAAATATGGCAGTTTACATGGCTTAGGGGAATTAAGGTTGAAGATGGAATTGAGGGTATTATTTGACTGATCTTAAATAGGGAGGTTATTCTGGATTATCACAGTGGACCCCATAAATGTTCTAAAAAAGTGGGACATGGAGGAGCAGAAGAAACAGAATTGGGAGATGTATCAAGACAGAAGGACTCAACCCACAGTTTCTGGCTTTGAGGACAGAAAAAGGGGCCACCATACCTCAGAAGCTAGAAAAGGGAGGAAATGTGTTCTCCTTTGGAGTCTTTAGAAAGCAATGCAGCCCAGGGGCCCCTTGATTGTAGCCCAGTGAAAACTATGCTTGATTTCTACCTTGATTCTTTACAGAGCTGCTAGAGAATAAATGTGTGTTGCTTTAAGTCACTACGTTTCTAGTTATTTGTTACTGTAGTAACAGCAAGCTAATACAACCTAGAATAAGAGGAGAGTACATCAGTTTTCATTAGTAAACATTCCCAATCTCAATGCTTAAATTTTCACAATGAAAACTACCATTTAGTTTTATGTGCATCCTAGAGACAGGCAATTATTTTACAAAGGCTCATCATGTTCTCTTCCTGTAAGAAAACAGGATTTTGCATAAAATTTCCTTTTGTCCTTGTTGATTTTTCACATTCTGATAATATGAGCAAATGGAAACATTAAATTTAATGTTTAAATTTAAGTTTAAATTTTCACTTGGGCTCTCTTGGAAATTGAGAAAAAGGTAATCAACTAGGGACTTGAGTGGTCAACATAAATAATACTGCGTTACTTTTTTTTTTCTTACCATGCAGATTGTCTCCCCAAAGACAAGGGAAAAAATGTTACTGCTTTAATTTGAAAAAAAAAAAATGAGCAGATGTTATGTAAATAGTTGCCAGAGAATATATTATGTGCATATCAAAGGAAACTGGAAAACCCTTTCCCATAAGACTACATCTGACCCCTGGAACAGCTGTAGCTCTGTGTTTGAAGAGTTCTGTGGAGGAAGGTCATGGAACACCTCTTGGTCCTAGAGGGGATTCTGTCCTAACCTGTCTGTCTGGCCACAAAGGGTGTGAGTAAATACATTTCAAATGGTTCCAGGTCCCATTACTGGTACTCAAGGCAGGAGGCTTCTACTAGTAAAAGGTCATACTTATCGAGGGTAGTACAGACTTGCTATTAGTAGCCTGCCACTCGGGGAAGGGGGGGGGTAGAAAAAAAAGAGAAAACAATTCACCTGCAATTTTTCATAAACAAGCAAGAGGTGTATATACTGACACATTGTCTCTACTTGCAAAACTACAAATTGCCTGTTAGGACCCATCTATCCATTGTCTCAGGTTCCTCACTTCTCCTCCTGAGACAATGGAATTTGCCAGCAGGTACACCTCAGATCTTCTTCCCAGTTTAACCGTGAATCCCTTCCCAGTTTAACCGTGAATCCATGTTACTCTTTCCCCACACCTATTTCTGCCTGGGAAGTAAGCATAGAAAAGGTTTTTGGCTTAGCTCCAGGTTCATATCACTGTGACTGGGGCTGTGGCTCCTTCATCTGATGCCCTTGTGATCCACATGACCCTCTGCTTGGGAATGCCGTATTCCAGAAGGTCTTCATTCTCCCAGCCTCGATTGTTACCACAGTAGCCAGTACTTCAATTGCCATTAGGAAAGCGTTTGAAAAGCTTCTGCCTCTTAAAACTAACAACAAAGTAAAAATCAAAAATCAACAAGCAACTATAAACCAGAGACACACTACAGTGGGGGGAAGAGGGAGTAGGATGAAAACAAGGGGGGTAGGAATTGTATGGGGACTATAACCAAGATGAAAATGCATACATTATGCAAAAATGAAAAATGATGTAAAAATATATAAAATGAAAAAAAAAGAGCAGAATAGAGTAGGAAAAAAAAACCAAACCTAATAGTTTGCTAGGGTTCCAGAAATTTTCACTGGCTTCTAGCAAATGACAATTTCAAACCATAAAAACCAATTGTTTTCGGGCCTCCCCGGTGGTGCAGCGGTTGAGCGTTGGGTTGCGAAGCTGCCCGCAGCCTCTGCGGCGCCGGTTCTATCCCCGACTGCTCCCCTGCCATGGGAGGAGGGTCCCACATGGCACGCAGACCTCTCCTGCCACCCGCTGCTCCCCTCAGCAGTGTACTTCGGTCCTTCTGCCTGCTCTGCTCTCTGCTCTGGCTCTGGTGAATTCTCTCACCCTCCTGCGCTTCTGCCTGTACCCAGTGCATGTATGAACAAAAACAAACAAACAAATAAATGAATGAATAAAATACGTGCCTCTTTAAAAAAAAAAAATCTTAAAAAAAAGAAAAAAAAAACAATTGTTTTCTTTTTCCCACAGACATACAACTTTAATTGTTTAATGCTTCAATGAATTGATGGTCCTTTACTAGGCTACCTTCATGCAGAAGCTTTATCTACTTTGATCTTAATATTGAATGAAGTGAAGTATGTAAAATATGAGGCAGCTCACACTTCTCTTGTGCAGCTTGTTCTAATGGATCCATCATTACTAACCAGGTGAGTCATGTAGTGAACCAATGAAGCTTCCTATTTGCACCCGGCACTATAGGTAGTCACTGACAGACATTTGAAAGTGATTCTCTTCTGAGTAGGGAGAATTATGGTTTTATTTTATTTTTTTTAAAGATTTATTTATTTATGCATACAAGAGCCTGGGTACAGGCCAGAGATGTGGGGGAGGGGTGTGTGTGAGAGGATTCACCAGAGACAGAGTGGGGAACAGAACAGGCAGACTGACTGAAATACACTGCTGAGGGGAGCAACGGGCAAGATAGGAGAGGTCTTCTGTGTCATGTGGGTTGCCCCCTTGCTGGCCGGAGATCGAACTTGTGCTGCAGAGGCTGCGGACTGCCTCATAGCGCAGTGCCCAACTCCTTGCGCCACCAGGGAGGCCCGAATTATGGTTTAAAAAAAATCATAATTAACATCTTTTATTTATATAGTGTTTTATAGCTTAGCAAATGTTTTCCTATTTGATTTATTTTACTGTCACAAAAACTGTGAAATTTGCAGAATAGTTATTATCTTATTTTACTGAGGGAAACAGCAACTCCTAGTTAGTAGTTAGCATGTCTTGCAATTGAGACTGGAAACCAGTTTTATAAATTCTGCCTTGAGTGTCCTATTATTATACCATCATCCTTAAATACGCACAGGAATACAGTGCTGTCTCCTAAGAAGAAGGGAATACTTGCTCTCCAAGAGACCTTTCACCATTTAAGAAACTTGGCCCTGCCATTTGCAATACCCGTCCCTGGGCAGAAGTCCCTACAGCCATTACTGCAAGTATTTATGTGCAGGTCTTTCACTCTACCTAGACTTTGTATGCCATGAAGGAGGAGTTTATATTTTTTAGGACTTGGCATATAGCAGATGTTCAATAAATCACTGATAACAGTAGTTAACATTTATTTAGGGATTCTTATACGCTATGCAGTTTTAAAATGCTTTTACTGGGCCTCTCTGGAGGTGCAAGGGCTTAAGTCTCAGCACTATGAAGCTATTCATGCCACTGTACCATGAGTTCAATCCCCGGCCAGGGAGCAACCTACATGGTCCAGCAGACCTCTCCTGACTCGCCAGCTGCTCCCCTCAGCAGTGTACTTCAGTCAACCCACCTGTTCTGTTCCCTGGCCTGTACCCCAGTTCTTGTGTGCAAAATGATTTTTTTTAAAAAAAATAAAAATGCTTTTACTTAATGCATTTGTTTTTCACAAATGCACTTTGTGAATCTATATACTCCTCAATTTTAAAAATAAAGAAACTGAGTCACAGGCAAATAACTGCCCAGAAAACACAACTAATGGTGCAGTCTTACTGTTGAGTCCCTACTCTTAATCACACTTTGATATGGCTTGTTGATACAATTTTGCTGAGCAAATGATGAGTGGTCTGTAAGGAGGTACCTCTTCCTTGGGCATAAAGAATTCCATTTTCTTTTAGATATCTTTGCATGGCAATCCTCTAAAACACTATTATAGTCTTTGTTGATATCTCTATCACAGAACTAAATCTCACGCTGGTGAAATAAATGCATTCAGTACAATTCAATTTGCATTCGATAAAAAATTTCCATATAATTCAAATCAGGTTTACTGAGAATGCCTGGAGAATTGATGGACTCAGATTGACAGAGCAAAGATGAGAGAACTTGAAAGAGAAATTGGCAAATGCATAGAATACTTGAAGACTGAATTTTGCTACCAGATACAGAATAACATTAAGTCTTCCCATTGAATGTCACCATTGCAGTTGCAAATACTCAAATTAATCTGGAAGCTAAATATGAATTTATCTAATCTTATCAATTACTCCAATCAGTGGGCATTCACACCAAGTGAAACTTGCACCCAAATATGGTTCTCAATTTCTTAAATATCTTTCCCCACTAAGCTTTTCAAGTGCTGAGTTCATGCCACTGCTTATTAAGTATCTGAACAGTATGGGTGGACTCTACCAGTTCTCTTTGGGCAAATCTCAGTAATCTTCTTGTTCAGATTCAGAAATATTCTTTTGAGACCCAGATGGACTTTGTCTTGTCTGTTTCTTTCCCAAAGTTTCTTTACTGGTTTCAAATTTCCTATATTTTAAATAAAGACAATAGTTGCACCTACCTTCATTATTGAGGTCATAGGATAAGCTGCCATGACAAAAAGAACCTCTCAGTTACAGAATCTCGAACATGATAATGTCACTTCTTTCTTATTAAGTAGACCAGAGGTAGGAGGCAGTCCAGTTTAGGCAGAAGCTTGCTCCAGAAGGTCATCAAGGCAACAAGGTTTTTTTTCTTTACCATGATCATGAATATTGTCCTCATTTGACCATGACCATGCCATGCTTTAGCCCACTGGAGGTGGAAAATGAGAAAAAGAGGGCAAAGAATATCTTTATGAGGGATCTGACCAGGAAGTCGCTCATATCACATCCAGTTACATTATCTTGACTGGAATTTAATTACAAGGCCCTACCTATCAACAAGGGAGGCTGGGAAACATGTTCTGAAGGTGAACATCCATGTGCCTAAATAAAACTTGGGTTGGAAGTTTCTTTTTTTTTTTTTTTTTAAAGATTTATTTTTTATTTATTTATACAAGCATTGGGTACAGTCAGAAGCGTGGGAGGGTGAGAGAATTCACCAGAGCCAGAGCGGGGAGCAGAGCAGGCAGAAGGACCGAGGTACACTGCTGAGGGGAGCAGCGGGCGGCAGGAGAGGTCTGCGCGCCATGTGGGACCCTCCTCTGGTGGCCAGGGAGCAGCTGGGGATCGAACTGGCGCTGCAGAGGCAGCGGGCAGCTTCGCAACCCAGCGCTCAACCGCTGCACCACCGGGGAGGCCCTGGAAGTTTCTTACTAAATGAAAGAAGGGAGCAGAATCTTCTATGCTAACTGGAAAGTTTGTCCCAAGGACTAATTAAATTAATATACTTAAAGTACCAAATGAATGTTTTCAATGTTTGTGTTAATCTGGTATCTGTTGTTATCATTGAGCAGTTATACCTGGTAATTTTATTAATACTCAGAACAACTTTATGTAGATAATATTCTGATTTTACAGAGAAGACACACACACACAGAGCTACACATGTATTAACACACATGTCTGTCTGATTCTAAAGGTTGTTTCGCCATTAACTTCATCTCTCCTCACACCTACAAGTCCTTATATATATATTTAAATTATTTATGTATACAAGAAATGAGGTGTAGGCTAGAGGCATGGGGGGTGAGAGGATTCACCAGAGACAGAGCAGGGAGCAGAACAGGTGGATCTACCAAAATACACTGCTGAGGGGAGCAGCGGGCAAGACAGGAGAGGTCTGCTGCATCTTGTGGGTTAGTTCCCTGGCAAGGGATCAAACTCATGCTGTGGTGGCTAGCAACAGCTCCATAGTGCTGAGACTTAATCCCTGTGCCACTAGGGAGGCCCAAAAGGTCTTCTTTTAAAGAAATATTTCCATCTGAGAGGGGCCATGTTAGAGATAAATGAGAAAAGTGGTTGGATAGACCTGGAAAGAAAAGTTGTCAGGTTGGAGGCTTGAAAATTTAGGTTTGATGTGTTGAGCAAATTACAGCCAAGGGGAGTTCTTGAATGGAGTGATGCAACAAGAGGTATTCTGAGGATAATCATCTCAACAGGTAGATGTTGGCCTAAAGGGAAGGAGGCTAAATGATGATGTCATAAGCTAGGCATGAAAAACTGTAAAGGCAAGAAACAGGGCTAAGAGAATGAAAGGAACAGATTGAATCGAAGAGACATTATGAACAAAAGTGTGGAAAGTTTTTACTATGAAAGTATTTTGAGGTATGTGGGAAGTCATTTTCAAATACACTGTGACATTATCTTTAACAAAACACTTTGAAGAAATAGACTCTTATATCTCTTTGAACACTTGACTCATGCCATGATTCCCCAAATAGCTTTTTTTAAAATTTTATATATTTTTGCCTCAATTTTCATTTTTGCACAATGTATGCATTTTCATCTTGGTTAGATTCCCCATACAATTCCCACCCCCTTTATTCCTAAATAGCTTTTAAGGTCTCCAAGTTGCAAATTTAAGACACTCTGGAAATTTTGATAAGATTAGTAGGAAGAAGTGATGGGAAGGAATCCTGATTTGGGAACTTAAGTAATGTTTTAAGTTTTCCATAAGCCAGACTCCCTGTATTGTTATATTCCATTCAGTTGAAGTATGCAGCAGGTATCAGAAGCAAAAGGCCAGATTTGGAGTGAATGCAAACATCTGAAGCTATGATAACAGATTAGATTAATTAATAAATATATATAGTATATCTAATCTGAAGTTAGCTATCTTAATTAGACTATGGAATCATCTTTCAAGAAAGACTTGGAAATTGAATTTTCATACCACCCTAAGTAGACAATGTGAAGATGAAGAGAAGTCAATAATGGAAAAAGAGACAGAGTAAAGCAAGAAAGATAGCCTAATGGAAAAAAGATTGAAATTGCATTTAATTCTGATTCTGTCATATCCTCAGTGAGTTTGGGCAGTTCTCTTAGGCTATCAGTAGGAAGTGGCTGGAGAATGTGAACTCTGTTTTTTTAAGAGATGAAGATTTGATGTTCTAGTTAGAAAGTGTGGGAGAGTTTCAAGAATGAAATGTTGGTTAAAATTGTCAAATACAGTGACAGTCCACCCATCCCTTTCCTGCACCCCTGTCTTTGCCACCCCTCTTCAAAATTCTCACGCCACAAAAGAAACATTGTTGAGACTGTCACTAGAAGTGACTGCATAATAACGTTGGATATTCCCTCAGAATTTAAAGAAAAAATTGTTACATTACATAATCTGACAAATTTTGCTTCTTTCAATTCCTTCCCAAGTCTAAATAAATGCATAAATAGCAGATTGGCAATCCCAAATGCAAAAATAGGCAGGGAGTATATTTTTTTCTACATTTGGGATATTGTCCACTAAGAGATAGATCATGAAGGCACCTTGACACAATAGCGTATTTGAGATTTAAAATCTTATCTTTTGATTGTAGAGGATTTTGTTTTTATGGGAATAAGTTTGATTTTACCAGGTTATCTCTATTAGCAGTTCATGGTTCCTAGGGTTTTCCCCCCTTTTTCAAAATGAAATTCAAGGGCCTATTGTATAAACATGATACTGAATCTACCCACTGCCAAACCCTGGGGCTCTCTAGTATATTAATCCAATCCCCTCACCAAAGGAAAGAAATTCAAGACTAGCAAGCATTAGTATTTGATGGAAAAATAAAATTGTTCTCAGCTGAATTAAAAAAAAAAATCTTGCTAGTAACCAATTTAGCAATGTATTAATAAAGTTCTTATGAGCCTTTTTATTCTTAATCTTTTATGGATGGTTAATTTCTCAATTCAATTACTTTTTTATTGGGGAAGAGAAATTCGACTTCAGTTTCTCTGTTTAGTTAAAGGGTCTTGCTAATTAAAACAAAACTTTTCCCCAAATTTGTAGATGTTAAATGGTTCTATTTATTTTTTTTTAGGAGACAAGAATCCTGTTTTTGAGATAGTAAAAATTAAACTTTATAAATATTTCTTTAAAAATTATTTTAAAAGTATAACCATTGGTACTTGACTCTGTATGAAAATATTGCTTTTTAGGGTTATTAGTATAATTTTGAGGTCAGAGGTTTAAATCTTGGTCCCATAACTTTCAAGGTGGGTGACTTTAGGAAAGTTATTTAAATTCTCATGATCTTATTTTCCTTACATAAAAAATAGGGTAATAGTATCAATGTCATTGATATGTATGCAATTAGTACACAAAAAGTACTAAAACTTTAATGCTACTCTCTTCTCTATTGTTATTTTAAACGAGGAAAATTAAGAAAATACTAAAACTTGAAAATCAAAGCTCAAATAATTCCTTTAAGCTACCTGAACAGAAGCTGGATATGTTTTTTTTTTTTTTTCTGAAAAAATATCTCAAATGGCCCAAATGAGTAAATATTTCATATTGGAGTTCTTGTTATATTTTCCATTGTACTTTTATGAATTCTAGGGAAAATATCAAAAGATACTATCATCTATCTGGGATAGAAAGAGCAAGGGTACTTGCATAATTGGTTAGAAAATGTTTTAATAAGAAAGCATATTTAAGAATATTTGCCTGTTCTGTTTATTTATATATCTATTTATGTCTAGCCTCATTCTAAAAATAACATGTGGTGGCAATTATAAGATTAAAATTTGGCCAGTTAAACTTAAGAACCTATGGAAATAGAAGTTCGATGTTGCACAGAGATGGGATGGGAAAATATATTAGAAATATAAATATGAATAGTTCCAATTCATTTGGAAAAAGGTAAGTTAGAATAAACAATGGAAAAATAAAACAACACAAACTGAAGTATATATATTAACAAAGTTCTTATAGCTTTATCGTTGTAAGGTTTAATTTGGGACAAGACATAATAATTTTCCTGGACACCAAGAAAATGAAATATCCTACCAAAATAGCTCACTAAAAAGTACCCAACAGCAAAGACCCTCAGAAAAATGAGGATTCGGTATGAGAATTATTTGTGAAAAATGTTTTTCCTAACTCAGGGAAACTTGTAATCTTTAGAAATGATGAGAAATGTTTTAATATTCACAGGCCTATATTTTAATATTTAATATTTTTAATAGTCACAGGCCTATATTTTTCCTTAGGTTTATTTTCAACCCATTTTACTACTATAATTTTTTTAATCAAAACCATTTTAATGGAAATTTGTTCTTGATTGAGAAGAAACTTAAAATGTATTTTTTAAAAGATATTTTCCTTATCAATTGAATAAATACATTAACAAGAAGGAGAACTTAGTTGTACATTTATAAAAGATTCATGTTCTCTTCAACTGTGACCATAGAGTGTTATTTAAAAAACAAACAAACAAACAAGCAGCAAGGATGAGAGACCCTATTTGCCCTATGAATGCATGTGTGATTCTTGGCATATCCACACAATATATATACTTTCTGGGAAAGCCAAGATGAAACAAAAAAAAAAAACAACTTAATCTATTTCAGACTCATTGGAAACAAATAACAGCAAAAACAATAGCAGCAAACAATTACAGAGGTATGGTAAGTGCTCCAAAATTGAAGCAGGTACAGAATTCTCAACACCCCACCCCACCCCCAGTGCCCCATCCCGCCCTCCCGCTCTTTGCTCTTTGTCTCACAGTCTCTTTTCTCTCTCTCTCTCTCTCTCTCTCTCTCTCTCTCTCTCTCCCTCCCCTTCCTCTCTCACATACACCCTAACAAAGAGGTGCATATATGTACAAATAAATTACTTTGGCTCTGCATCTGATTTCATTTATGAATCTGAAGGTAAAACATTAAGATTTC